TGGCAGCTGCAGCAAACTGCTGGCTCATATTTAAGTGATTGTCCACTAGGACTCCGAGATCCCTTTCACAGTTACTATTATTGAGCATGGTACGACCTTTACTATATCTGTGTATTTTGTTTTTTCATGCTTAAATGTAGAACCTTACTTTGTTCCCCATTGAATTTCACTTTCTTAGATAGGGCCCAATGTTCAAGTGTGTCAAGATCCTTCTGTATCTTGAGCCTATCTTCTGGAGTGTTGGCTACTCCCGCCAGCTTGGTGTCATCTGCAAATATGATGAGTTGCCCATCTATTCCCTCATCTAAATAGTTGATGAAGATATTGAAGAGTACTGGGTCTAAGACAGAGCCTTCACCTACTCTCCAAGATAACATTTCCTACTTATACTGCATTCTTGGAACTATCCATATGTTAGATGTTATTTTGTTTTATGGAAAATATAATAATTTTATTTACACAAAATGGGTTTGCCATAAAGTGGCTTATATTATGCAGAAGTAAAACAATATCATTTTGTTTTATATTTTTAAATGAATGAAAACAGATAATAAAACATAATAAAACAGATAATAAAAATATTTTATTTCAAACATATAATAATTATAATAGATTAGTTTGCATATATTATTATTATAATTAATAATTCTATACCTATATTTATTTCCTAGACTAATATCCTATGATACTCTCTTTACGCCCAGAAGGAGTCAGAGAAACTAAATGGGCAACCAGTCTGCTGTGACAGAATTCCTTCTGATGAAATTTTCTGATGATCGTGATTTGCAAATTCTGTATTTTATAATGTTTCTTGTCATCTACTTATTAGCCTTAATTGGAAATTTCCTTCTTGTTATTGCTGTGATTCTAAACCAGCACCTTCATGCTCCCATGTATTTCTTTTTGGTAAATTTGTCATTCTCTGATGTTTTTTTAATCTCAACCATGATCCCTAAAGCCATGGCTACTTCTTTGACAAATAACAGGGAGATCTCCTATGTTGGATGTGCTGCTCAGGTCTTCTCAGTTATCACCTTTGGAGGTTCTGAGCTTGCCTTGCTGACTGTCATGGCTTATGACTGTTATGTGGCCATCTGCCATCCTCTGCAATATACGCTAATGATGAACTGGGATGCCTGTTTACAAATGACAGCTGCTTCCTGGATAAGCAATCTGATCCATGCTTTGCTGCACACCATATTCACTTTCAGGTTAAATTTCTGCAAATCCAATATAATTGAGCAATTTTTCTGTGATGTTCCTCATCTACTAATAATTTCTTGTACTGATACAAGAATTAATCAGTTTCTGATTTTGGTTGTAGGGATTACTGTAGATTCATTATGTAGTGGGCTCATTTTTATTTCCTATAGCTACATCTTCTCTGCTGTACTAAAAGTCCCTTCAGTTCAAGGCAAATATAAAGCTTTCTCTACATGTACTCCCCACCTGACTGTATTTTCGTTATTTTTTATCTCTGCTGTCTTTGCATATACGAGACCCCAAAGTCTATCCTCCCATACTTTGGATTTGCTCTCTGCTGTTCTCTACACAGTTTTGCCCCCACTCCTCAATCCTTTCATTTATAGCTTCAGGAACAAGGACATCCAAAAGGCCATGTGGAAAATGCTCAAGAAGTAAAAGCAGAAATTACATTTTGTTTTGTGAGGAGGCATTGGGTTTAAATATGCCAAATTAGTAAATAAAAACCCATCCTTTTTTCATGTACCAACCTGTGAAGAATTTTGTATTTTCTTACTTTAAATAACTACATGTTATTTTTTAATCACCAAATCCTTGGAATTTGTACAGAATGGAACAGCCTATGCCTGTGGTCTACTGGAATGGAAGAGGAGGTAGAAAAGATGTTAGGAAAGTCAGTTTTACATACGCTATCCTAAACAAATGAAAATAACCCAACATAAAACAGTTGATGTCAACTCCAAATATATTTTGACCTGAATCAGGTTCTTGCATTTCTGAAGAGGTGGGAAAATCAGGATGGTTCATGGGCAAAATAAATGTAGTAAAAATACTGAAGACTACTTTTATGGACATATTTTTTATTCTGTGTCATTTAGAAAAAAATATTTCTACTGGTGAGAACCTGCTTAATTTAATTTTGTGTTTGCATGATCCCAGGTGGAAAAGCAGCAGAGTCTTCTTTTGACCAATTCACCAGGCATCCATGTCTAAATGAAGCCAAAATTATTGAGTCAGAATTTGAAAAAGATCATGATTTATTCAAGTTATAATAATATTTTTTCAGTTTTTTGAACTTGAGGATATACAAAGTTTCTTATCAAACTGAGCTTTTTGTTTGGTTGTAGATTTTAAGAACAATCTTACACCATATATCCTTCTATAAGTCTGAAACACTATTGTGTGGTATTTCTCACATCGGATAAGTGCATTCATTGTTCATTCTCTTTAGCAGAATACTATGCACTTTTTTAAAAAAATGTCCTGGGAATTATATGGGTTATGTAAATAACTGTTTAAACAACATGTCTTTGTATCCTGTGATAGATTCTTGGTACTGAGGAGAATTAAAATAATTAAATTTTAAAATTGCAGAAATTCTAACCCAACTTTAAATGAACACAATTGAAAATTCACTTTTATGCTTATTCTGTCCAATAATAATGCTCTTTCTCTTCTTTTTTCCCCAAATTGTAAGTATCTAATTTTTCAGAATTCAGTCATGTGGTTATTAAAAGATGTGTATTATTAATTCATCTTCAATTTACAATAAACTTGCATATGTGGCTGTTATAGAAATTAATGTATTTATCATAGAGTAGACTTGGTAAAGATACAGTAAATAATCATTTGAACTTCTGATTCTTAAAGTGGTGGCTAAGATCTTAGAGAATTGAAATAAAATTAGATTCCTTTTATTTCAAAGATAATAAAGAGTTTTAGGAGACAAGAAAGAAATTGTTCTGATTATTTTGACTTTTTCCAATTAATATTGAGTTCTTTATTAGGATCAAATACTGGAAAACAGATAGTCCCAAAGGTGCTCTTTTCACGAGACAACTGGACTTTCTTCTTTTTCTTTGAAGACGTTTCAATTCTCATCTAAGAAGTTTCTGACTAAATGGTGGGGAATGAAAGGATTTCTTGGATGAGAAGTGAAACGTCTTCAAAGAAAAACAAGAAACTCCAGTTGCCTTGTGAAAAAAGCACTTTTGGGACAAACATGACCTGGATGACTGAGAATCACCTTAGACATTTGGAAAATAGATAGTGGAAATGGAACCCAAGTAGTACTTTTGGACTTGCTATTGTAAGTCATAAAATTTCTTGGTTTTGATACAAGCAACCTTGTATTCTGCAGTTGATTAGGATTATAGTTACTAAAACTGTTTAATTGGGTTGGTTAGGGCTGGAAGAATTTAAGGTCTAGTTATCTGAAAATCTAGAGATGCTGCTTGCTCTTGTCTCTTTCTAGAGGCTGCTTGCTCTTGTCTCTTTCTGGGTCATATGGTTTTGGGTGAGGGACTACTGCAAACAGGAAAAAAAATGACAAATAATTGGATTCAGCAATTCACACCATCTTAATATTCATTATTGTTCGAGGCAAAATATGGTGCTGTAGAACTGGACTCAAAATAAATAGATCCAGGTAGAAATTAATATTCATTCAAGAAATGTAATACTCCAAATTCCTCAACATCTAACAAATTTTATTTTATTTTCTTGCTAAAAAAGGCAGGGATATTGAAATACCTTTCAATAAGGCATTTCTATCCCCTCTGCTCCATAATATCTCAAGATACTGTATTTCAATACTCATGCCTTTTTTTTTGTAGGAAGAAATAAAATCTCTTCAATTTGTTAGATATTGAGGAATTTGGAGTATTGCATTTCTTGAATGTATATTGATTTCTACCTGGATCTATTCATTTTCAGTCCAGTTCTACAGCACCATATTTTGCCTCAAACAATAACGAAAATTAAGATAGTATGAATTGCTGAATCCAATTGTTTGCCATTTTTTCCTGTTTGCAGTACTATGTCCATTATACAGATTATATTTGAATTTATTTTGTTTCAATAAAAATAAATTCAAATATAATCTGTATAATGGACATATTTGCATGTTATTTCAACAGTCTCTAGAATATGATTGTTTGAGCAAACAAATAGGCTGTATGATATGCAAATATTTCATAGTGGGAAAATATGAGGGAGAAATAAAGAAAGTGATGATAGAATGAATCATTTTAAGATGCTAAAGGCATTAGGCAATAGTCAATAAGTCAATATCTGTGACTAGTAAGATTCTAAACCACAAATAGTTCAGAGAGCTGGAAAACAAAAGTTATAGAAAGTGATCAATTCATAGAAATGAACACCAGCACCCATAAATGGTAATGTCCCTTATACAAGCCTGGAATATTACTGAAAATATTACTGTAGTGAGGACATGAATAGAAGTTGCAGTGGGATATGGGAAATCATCCTAAATAAGCCACAAAAACCACAAGGACTTTTCACAAATAGAGATTATAAAGTTATTGATTTATTTATTTGTTAAATTTCTTGCCCATCTCACCATGGGGCCACTCTGAGTGGCTTACAACAATACAATGGAAAAATGGTAAAATGTAAGCATAACAATAGTAAAGCAATGAAGCAATAAAAAATAAACAATGAAGGTACAACAGTACAAATAAAAAGAACATTGGGATAAGCAAAAAGTGAACAGGAGAATTTGTCAGTTAATTAGTCTAATAGTCACCTCCAATGTGGCATTCCCCCACTAGGTCAACAGGCCAACCAGCAGAGCCAGGTTTTCAGGTCCTTGCAAAGGACAGGAGGGTGGGGGCAGGCCTCATCCTGGGGGAGCAGAATGTTCCAGAGGGCTGGCATTACCGTAGAGAAAGCTCTTTTGCTGGATCTCCCCACCCTGAGTTCCTTGACTGAGTGGATCCCCAGCAGGCCTCCTCTGCCAATAAATTATGTTTTTGAAATACAGCTTATGTAATCAATCATCTTATTTTTAAGGAAGGGAAAGAAGCCCATTTTTTCCCTATATTCCACATGGCTTTCTGAATGTCCTTATTCCTGAAACTATAAATGATGGGATTCAGTAGTGGTGGCAAAACTGTATAAAAAACAGCAGAAAGCAAATCTACAATATATGAGGAAGAACCTTTTTGTCTCATATAAACAAATATTGTAGTGCTGATAAATAAAGTAAAGACAATCAGGTGGGGGATGCAGGTTGAAAAGGCTTTGTATTTGCCTTGAATGGAATGGATCTTTAGCACAGCTGAGAAGATGTAACCATAAGAGATAAAAATTATCCCACAACAAATTGAGCTAAATGTACTTCCTATCACAAAAATCAGTATTTGGCTTGGTCTTGTATCGCTGCAAGAAATCTCCTGTAAATGAGGAACTTCACAGAAAAATTGCTCAATCCTGTGTGACCTGCAGAATTTCCATTGAAATATTACTACAGTTTCTAGCAATGCATGGATCATACAGGTGAGCCAGGAAGCAGCTGCCATTTGCATACAAGCATCCCAGTTCAGGATGAGACTGTATTGCAGGGGATGGCAGATGGCCACATAACGGTCATAAGCCATGATGGTCAGCAAGGCGAGCTCAGAACCTGCAAAGGTGAAAATCGAGAAGACTTGGGCAACACATTCAGTGAAGGTGATCACTTTGTTATCTGTTAAGGAAATGGCCATGGATTTGGGGATGGTCGTTGAGATGTAGCAAATATCTGAAAGTGACAGGTTAGCTAAAAAAAAATACATTGGGGTGTGAAGGGGGCAGTTCAGGGCCACAGTGATAACCAGGAGAACATTCCCTATTATGGCAATTAAGTAAATGAAGGAAAACATCACAAAATGCATAATCTGCCCATCACGGTCATTGGAAAATCCCATCAGAAAGAATTCTGCCAGAGTGGATTGATTCATTTCATTTCATTCAGACTGTAGAGGAAAAAGAGATGAGAATACACAGTTAGCAGACATTTTTTAAAAAAATCTAAGGTCTTGCTAAATGTCAGTATATTGTCTGTGCAAAAGAGATCAGTAAAGAAACTAGTAAATAAGGAATGCAGAAACAACCAAATAAATACAGTAATTAATTGGTTTGCAAATGTTTGTCATAGTCTCTTTATCAACCTCTTTCTCATTCTCACTAGTTTACAAGGAAAAATAACTCAGCGATAGTGGAAATATAATACTGAACTAAAATCACTTTGAGAAATATAGTGTGTGCTGATGGAGTTTCATATGTTTTGAAGAACTGATAACTATATATGATTGTAGAGTCACATTGTATCCATTTTAGTAAAAACAAAAGGAGTGCTCTACAATAAGGCATTGTTGCAGTTGTTTTTTCTGTCATTGCAAGATATCATCCCTTGGCAATAACAACATTAATAATAACAACAACAACAACAACAACAACAACAACAAAATACAAAGACCTACAAATAGAAATAGAAAGACTGTGGCAAAGGCAAGCAAGGGTAGTACCAATAGTAATAGGTGCCTTGGGTGCAATCCCAAAACAACTAGAGTACCACTTGAACACGATTGGCATTGACAAATTCGCCATTAGTCAATTGCAAAAGGCAGCCTTACTAGAAACTGCTTCCATCCTGCGACGATATCTGTAATACCATCAAACATCCACATCTGCCTATCCCAGGTCCATGGGAAGGACTCGATAGGTAGACAAAAATGCCAAATCCAGTCTGAACATCTGGCTGACTGTGCGATTAATAATAATAATAATAATAATAATAATAATAATAATAATAACAACAACAACAACAACAACAACAACAACAACTGAAGACATAGAATGGACTCAAAGAAACCTCTAAGACTATCCTTCAGGACCTTTCAACTCATCCTTTCTCACTTGTTCTCCCTTCTGTCTCTCACAAAGAAATTTTAAAAAAAATATTTTAGATATCTTGCATATATCTAACTAATCTAAGTTTAATTAATTTCCATCTAATTTATGTTAAATGGATATAAATTCTTCTTGTATTTTATTTTATAAATATACATTAAAAAACCAAAATCTTATCGTTAATGTTGGAAGGTAGAATCAATACTTCTAGTGTTTTCCCTTACTCTATTAAGCAGTTAAGATAAGGTCAACTTACTGATAATTTCATAATATTGATATTATTAGCAGTAAAAACAGGGAGATTTGAATATTTACATGTGATTGAATTGTGTAGTGGCACTAAAATTGCAACACTGAAAACTGAGGAAAGTTTGGAGGTATTTCAGAAGCAAATATCCATATGTCCATTTGAAAAAGATAATATTTCAAATTGAATGTAGGTGATGGTAATACAATTAAACCATTAATATTTAAATTATGCATGTAATATTATTCAGTATATATTGCCACTTGGATACAGATGAAACTAGATGTCTTGTAATGAAAAACATAAATATTTATGGAAGTATAACATGCACTATACTCCCAAAGCAGCAAAAACTGTTTGTATTTTTTCAAGAAAAATGGTGGTCGTGGTTTGTTGCAACTGATGCAGACAATGGAGTGAAAAATCAGATTTTTCCTCAGCAAAGAGAAAAAGTTAACAAATGTTTGCAATAAAAATGAAAAATGGATATGTTTGACATCTGAAAGAAATTGAAGGCAGGATAAAGAAGCAAAATTAGGCAATGGTTTTCAATTGGATCCATCAAGAAGGGAAGAAAAGGCTTAATGTTTGCAAGACAGGAACAAACAGTAGCAACAAATTCTATAAAAAAATAAGAATAGGAAACAACTTCCAATATAGCTTATACAAGAAAAATGAGACTATTGATTACCTAATCAGTGGCTCTAGTAAAGTTCTTATGATGATAGAAGTCAAACAGACATATATGTATTCTTTGTATTAATTCTATTTTGTACCACATTTTTTTATACTAAATAAACTCTTTAATCTTAAATTTTAGCTGCCAATGCTGTGAAAGTATATTACTTACCTCTCATTTTCCTTAAAATATTTGATATGCTTGAATATGTATCATCTTTAATATAAGAAATATCTGGTATGGGGAGCTAGTACAAGTTGAAATAATGTTATCTCTGTTTTCTATTATACTCCCAGGAGTCAGTCCTTGGAGAAGATCATTGCATAATGATGTCCAAATAAGTGGAATGATTACCTATGTTTTCTACAAAACTTTTCTATCCTGCAGGTCCTGACTGAGTCTTCATTTCTGTCTCAGAGTAGTATTCTGCTTAGTCAGCACAACTCAAAATAATTAATTCCTGGAGCAAATAATTTTATTTCAGTTTTATAAATCATGATAAGAATCCTTTCTCTCCTTTCTGAATTTGCTTTCATTGTTTTTCCTTTGACTTTTTATGGGAATAGAAATTATTTTAGTTAAGTTTTGTGTTTTAGTTGCTTTCTTTACAGGAAACCAAGAATGTAAAGTTGTCCAAAGCAATCAATCTTTTTCCAGGAACTTGATTTTTTAAACTGGAAAATGTTGGTATTTTGCTCATAATACAAGACCTTACCCAATTAATAGGTGTAGAAACACTTATAAATGGAGCTGCTGATTTACATCTATCTGTGAACTCCATGCTTGCTAAAAACAGTAACCATGAGAATGTTCCAAAGCAATTTTGGACTGCTTTTTAAAAATGTAGGTTAAGCAAGCCATCATTCCCTGGTGGACTGGTGCAAGAAGAGATTTCAGGACTTCTGTTGAATTGATCCAAACTAGCACAAATAAGAACCCATAGTAGGAACTCCATTATAGTGATATGGGCAGCAAACTATTGATTTTTTTCACCTTTATTGTGTAGCCACCTGGCAGTCCTGTTTAGTATAATCTGGTTCTTCCTGCAGAAGAATGAACCACAGGATTTATTGGAGCATTTCTATCTAGCAGTTAAAGTTACTTGGATCCACTCAGAGATAAATTCTGACTGGAAGGATCCAATTCCAATGCCTGGGCAAGCTGTTGCATTATCTGAAGTGAGTTTAATTTTATGACTGCCTAATTGCCCAATCAACTGTCTCTATTCTAATTTCTAGTGATTTTTGAATCCAGTTAGGCTAACAACACTAGCAATTTTCTTCTTCTCCTCCTCCTCCTCCTCTTCCTTTCCTTAGTTTTGGAAGTATGGTTATAGATGGAGTGCTAGATTGGAACAGGAGAGTTCTAAGTTCATAGTATCTAGTACCAATCCCTTTACAAACATGAAATTCATTAGTAAAAGTTTCTCAATTTATTGCAGTTCTGATTTATATTTTCTTAGGAAACAAATGTGTTTGGATAACAAAGTGAAATGCTTTCAACTAAAAATGAGTACATCAATAAACAATATAAATATATCCAAATATCATCTCTATAAGATCAATATCTTCAATGCATATATTTTTCGAGTCAACAACCAGAAGGTTTATTCAAAGTTTGTCATTCATGACCAAATATATTTGCCTATCCACTTATTAGAAAATACAGAGAAGTGAAAACAGTAAGTTACATACAAACATCCATAACAATTGAGAATGTGAATGTCAATTATGTGATCAGAAGCAAACTTTCCAAAAAGGGAAAAAAAACACTCCTGCAAACATATACACTCCATGAATTTCTCTGCATAAAGAGCTCAAGGGACATTTTGAAATATTAGTGAGAAAGTAAGAACTTGCAATTGAGGAATGGAAATCATTGGAAACCTTTCACAAGACTGTTGCATAGATAGTTATGACCACAAGATGTATTTTAAATAAGTACATTAATTTTTCTTTTTTAAAAAAGTGAAAATACTTTCACTGCTGTTTTTAACATGGCTTCTTTCATGTTCTTATTCCTGAAGCTATAAATGATAGGATTCAATAGTGGTGGCAAAACTGTGTAAAAAACAGCAGAAAGCAATTCTACAGTATGAGATGAATGGCTTTTGGGTGTCATGTAAGAAAATAAAGCAGTACTGAGAAACAGAAAGAAGACAATCAGATGGGGAGTGCAGGTAGAGAAGGCTTTGTGTCTGCCTTGTATTGACTGAATCGTTAGCACAGCTGAAAAGATGTAGCCATAAGAAACAAAAATAATACCACAACACACTAAGCTAACAATGATTGCTGTCACAAAAATCAGTGTTTGACTAGTTCTTATATCAGTGCAAGAAATCTTCTGTAATTGAGGGATATCACAGAACAATTGTTCAATCTTACGTGACCTGCAGTATTCCCACTGAAATACAATTACAGTTTCTAGCAAAGCATGGATCATACAGATAATCCAGGAAGAAGCTGCCATTTGCATACAAGCATCCCGATTCAGGATAAGGCTATACTGCAGAGGATGGCAAATGGCCACATAACGATCATAAGCCATGATGGTGAGCAAAGCAATTTCAGAACCTGCAAAGGTGAAAATCGAGAAGACTTGGGCAGCACATCCAGCAAAGGTGATCACTCTGTTATCTGTCAGGGAAGTGAGCATAGATTTTGGAATGGTGGTTGAGATGAAGCAAATGTCTGAAAATGACAGGTTAACTAAAAAGAAATACATTGGGGTATGAAGGGAGCAGTTCAGGGCCACAGTAATAACTAGGAGGACATTCCCCATTATGGCTATTACATACATGAAGAGAAACATCACAAAATACAGAATTTGGATATCATGGTTGTCAGAAAATCCCATCAGAAGGAATTCTATCAGAGTAGATTCATTGGTCATTTCATGTTTTTCATTTATTGGAGACATTCTGAGAAAAAGAGAAGAAAATAGTTAGTAGATATTAATATCAAATCTTCTAAATTACTAAATTTCAATATAGCCCCTATGAAAGAGATAGTGGGGAATTTAGAATAACAGATTGCTTTTGCAGTGATAGAAATAAAATCTATTATTTCTTTTGGATTGCAAAAAGAGAAATAGATATATCTGATACACAGCACAGAATAAAG